CCTCATTAGCGGTACGCATCGCGGCTAGGTCAGTTTCGTGCTTGGCACGCATACTTTGTAGATCTGCGGCGTGTTGCTGCCGCATCTGCTTGACCTGCTCGATCAGTCGTCTCAATGCTGCTTCGTTATCCATGTTAGTGGTGTGATCTAGGTCGTCTGTTGCGCGTCTGCTATGGCTTCTGGTGAAAACCATAAGAGTGGCCGATAAAAGCTGTCTTGATCGGCCCCAAGGTGGGCGCCAAATGTTCTTACCGGGAATCCGAGGTAGGGATGATCCACTCGGTAAGATTAGTGAGCCTCCTTCACGAGTACGTTTATGCTCCAAGATGGGGGTGGTACCTGCAAAAGAGACTCCGATGCCAAAGTTAGGGTTTGTGTGAATATGAGTCCCGTATAAGTAATGCACGTACCTTTGTGTGTATTAGGGTTTTGTTGGGCCTTGGGCCCGATATCAATTTATGACCTAATTGGATAGTGAGCCGATGTCGCCTAGCGCGTGTCCGAGGTCACTCCGCGCTGTGATGCCGAGCTCTCGGCATAGCGGTACGGATAGTACACTAGCCCCCAAAGCTCCGAAGATCGTAGGTCGAGGAGTTAAGACCGAGCTCGACAAGGGGTCGTGACTTTTCGCGTACGCCTATTTGTCATGACGCCATGTGTCATAACCGTCACCTCGTTCCCATAACGCGTGGGCGGCGCGGTGACAAGATTGTATTTTTATTTGTTTGATGACATGGCCTCTTTGGGCCGATGTGGTGTTTCGATGTCCATGTTTCATGGTCGGGCTGAGGAGCTCGGTAATAATGAGCTTACTGCTTGGTTAGGCTGGTAAACCTTTGACCGAGTCAGCAGATTGGTGAGGGACAAGTCGGCAACTCGGCTGACCAGTACAAGTAATATTAGTTTTTGGATAACCAAAATAGGACTCGTCCGATGATTTCATTTAGTAGGATAAATCTTTGTCACCCTAATTTGAATCCATTTTAGATGTTTGAGACTTTGTGACTCAAATTCTGGTAAGTGAGTAATTTTCTTTTTCTTACTTTGGTGAATTCAAGAATTTTTTCTATTATGTGGCAAGTGAGTAATTTTAAATTAACTACTTGCCCTTTCTCTTTGTTTCAATATCTTTTGGTTATAGGCTCCTTGATTTGGTCTAAAATGACCAAAATTGTTGCTGTTACTACTTATATTTAGTTCCTTGTTGGCCAATGTTAAGTTTGATGTATGCATTATGGATGAACCTCATATGCTAATTTATTTCTTTCATTTATTTTATAAAAAATATGTGATACCTTTATATATATATATATATATATATATCCAGAATTCACTCTTCGCTATTTATGTAATCTTCATTACAAAAAACCACATGAATTTGTTTGCAATAAGTGCCTATTTATAAAGAATAGGAGGGTAATGTATAGAAACCGGTATTTTATTAAATAGAACAAGAGATTTCTCTCCTACAATGTTTAACAAGAAGAACTTTAAGGATCTGCAACTCCCGATGTCCAAAGCTCCCAATAGTCTCGCAAATGACAAAATTGATCTCTCTCTCCCCATCCTATTTTTATTTTTAGGCAACATCATGTTATTCAATGATGTTTTGCCATTAAAATGGAGTAATTTGCTCGATATAGTTTGATTTGTATATAAATGTCTTGTTATATGAATTTAATAATTGAGAATTTGAATTTGTCTCATTCAATAATTTCTCTTTTGAATATTTTTTTTACCAATGATTTTAATTTTATTCAATATTGTCTATCTTTTGTAGGTCTTTTCTCTTAACTAAGGTTTTTCTATCGACAAAACTCAAACTTGAGATTTTTCTTAATAAGAACAAGTTTAGTGCCACTTTGTCCAACATTATTTTTAATATATTATTTAACATTTTACTTTATATACTTATTTTAATTTTTCTCGATCATAAAAATTGTTATAAAAATAGACTTCGATATATTAAAATTAGTGCATTTTACACTCTGACATATGACCCGAGAAGCTACGATGCAAAATGAGTGCATAAAAAATGTTAAAATAAAAACTTGGAATAACTATGTTTAAATGTTATAATATTTTGAATATTATATATAATTATAATTATCTCTCAAAATACAGAAATAACATTTAATAAAAATTTAAAATATCATTAATTAATATATTAATATATGCAGCTTTGAATATAAAATATGAGCAATTATTCTCAAAATATATAAATCACTTATCCTCTTAAATATAAAAGTATATGTTCAAACTTAAATATAGTTTTTAAATAAATATAAAAGTAATCACATAAAGTTGT